GGGAACCTTGGCTCCCTTCAGCAGAGGAGTTCCTGTGAGCCTCCCTCCCCTCTGGCACTGAATTTGTCTACTCCAACTCCCCCCTGCCCAATCTACAAACCAGAGGTCCCCAAACCTCCCCTGAGGCAGCAAACCCACTGAATCCAGAGTAACTGCAGAAGGCCCATTTCAGCTGCTGTCTAACACTTGGGAATGCTCTGAAACGACCACCCACCCATGGTAAATGCCAGCACAGACTGCAGCTCAGTTCAGGAGGCTACATTTTCATGTAAACTCTTTCTGTAGCCTAAGAACAACAAATACGATTCCTGCTGAATGATCACCCATTGCTCCACATTCCACCCTCAGGTTAATCAAACTTCTACCTTCTTCTATCCAGAATCAAAGATGCCTGACAAAAACAATTAACTTGGCTCACATGAAAGATTATTACTGACTAAAAAACCCAAAGACCTGCAAAACTAAGACAATGTTTTTAAAAAGCACATGGGCCTCATTTGTGTGCACTGGTTCACAAGAACAGACTAGACAAACTTCTCCCACTACCTGCATAAAGCTACTTTTAACTTTTGCCACCTTACATCAGTCTCTAACTGCAAACCTCAAACATATCTGAATGCCTGCTTGCAGGTACAGCAATAAAAAAATCCTGGGATATCAGGAATTTACTATTAATAAGAATGATAACTGCTATATCACGTTCTCAACCTGGAATGAAGTAAACTGGACAGACACCAAGTTTACAGGAACTGCCCCACAACAGAACTGCAGTTTAAATATCGGGTTAGAAGGAGGTCTGAGAAGTTTGGTTCCATGTCCCATTTCCTCAGAGAATGGGGTTGTTCCTGTCAACCTGAGCAGTGCCACAGTCTGCATTCTGTAAGGATGCACCAGAACAGTTCTAGCAAGGTGTTCTTCACTGAGAAACCAGCACAGGTCAGTTCTGCCTGCAGTTCCTTACAGCACAATGCACACCCACCCTGCAGAGGAATGAGCTCTCCACCACTACCCTCACACAACAGAGAGCTTAAGTACTGTGGCACAAGGCAAAGCAAACATAACACTTAAGACAGGTGTAAATTCACTGCTCACAATGATTTATAGGTGAGCAGAGCAACACAATAATCCTCCAGTTGTCACAGGCCACCCTTGGCAAACTGCAAACAGACCTGTGCCCAACACACACATTTTACAGAACTACCAAGTGATGAGTTTGGTGCATCCACCAGGAGACACAAGGCAGATATGCAACTTGGTCTAGTGGGAGGTGTCCCTGCCAACAGCAGGGGGCTGGAAATACATGATCTTTAAGGTCCCTTCCAACCCAAAATGTTCTGGGATATTAGGGTTTTTCAGAACAGGCATTTCAGAGCGGCTCAAACACAAGATGACAACCCAAGACCTCCCCCATTAGCATGAAGTTAGAACAGGGAATTCCTAAAATCTGCCATCTCTCAATGAGATCCAATTAATCCACAGATTCTCAAAATCCTATTTGGACTCCAGAACTTCTAAAGATGTTAACCTAGATCAATATTGACTATTGCCAAAGCTCTTCACTTACGCAGCTGCAAATATTGCTAAAGATATACAGTGACAGGTGCCCTTTGGTCCCTCGTGCTGTCTCAAGGCTGTGTCACAGTTGTCACAGCATTAGTGCACTCCAGGCCACAAAAATTCCTTCAAAAAGAGAGCCACCCACTAATCCCCTGTGCAGAAACCTTCAATTAATCAAGACAGAAAGCAGAAATGTATTAGAAGACTCCAAAATCTCCCAGGGCAAGCAAAAGATCAGAGCAAAAGGCTCTGGGTCTCTGCTTTACAACTTAAAGGTCACATTTTATTTCAAGCTGTAGCACTCTCAACATTACTTGAAACGTGTCTATTGGTTTAATTCCTTCTGTGGAACTACTGTAACAGCAAGACCAGAAATATTTTTCAGGAACTGCCATAGGGCAGTTTCATTATAAGGCAACTCTTGCCACTTATTCTCAAACATAAGACAGCAATTCATTTAAAACACCTACAGCAATTGCCAGTGAAAACGTTTGGTATTTCCCTAATACCTTCCTTTATTATACAGCCCTTAGCAGCTTTTATTTTTAAACTACTTCATGAACTTTCCCCACGATAAAAGCTTGAAATATGCTGATCATTCCTGTTTTGAATAAGGGATACAGAGAAGGTATTGCTCCAACCTAATCTTCTGTATGAGTCAGGCTCTGATAGGAGATTCTCTCTGCTCCTCCCTCTGCGTGCTGGCAATCTTTACATTTCTGTTCCTGCGGTTCTGCCAATACCAGATTGGGTTTAAAAGCAAGACTTTGAAATACTAACAGCTTATTAGCAAAAAAAAACCTCACCCTCAAATACCAGAAAGTCAGCTCAGGGAAGAATAAACTAATTTATTCTAATTATTCTCTACACTTAAAATTAATCCCACCACCATTAAGCGCTTTCTAAAGTTCAGTCCACTGTGGGAGTCAGGACTCAAAATGTGAAGACTGTTACATTCCAAGTTCCATCAGCAAATCCAGCTTAAATAAAAGTCACACAACTGAATGAACACTCTAGAAGCCAGAAAAAGCCACAGAGTATAAGTCTGTCACGCATTTAACTCTGTAGAGTTAACTCTGCTAATCAGCTAATCAAATAATTTCTGACTGCCAGGGTAACAGCTTAATGAGGAAAGAAACACATGAAGGTTAAATCTGCAGTACATGTGGAAAAGCTGGAACACAAGATAAAAAACTCCACTACCCCAGTAAAATCTAAATTGTAGTTAAAACTCCCTCCTAGAAATCAAGTTCCACAGAAACCTTGGTGATGTGGGGACAAGGAAGGCTCGACTGAGAGAGAGTGACTGATGGATGGGGAGCTGTGGCAACACGGAAAAGAAGTTAATTTTCTTCCAATGTTATTCTTATTTCAAAGTTTAATCACTTGCCCTCCTGTCTTACTTTTAAAGCAACAACACTCCTCTGTGTCCTGCACAGCCTGGAAAGCACATTCTTCTCCAAATATGGTTTGACTGAACAGAACTTGCACGTTCCTTTTCCACAAACTCCTTTTACCACCTGCTCTAATCACCACAAGATATCCTGACATTTGCAATAGGAGAACTCTAAGTATGTTCTCCTAGCAACTGCTGGTGAGATTTTCAGTTGATTTTATCCCTGACTCTTCATATTACTACAAAGAATTCCTACAGTAAAGTATTTCTAGGCCTTGCCATGGCACACTCAGCGTGTCAGCTGCTGCATTACTAATGAACATTATAATTACCAAGCATGATTCCATAATTAGAAATAATTCCAATTATATCTTTAAGTGTTTTCCTTCTCCCAAGCATTTAGTAAACACACATCAAAACTATTGCATCAAATTGCCTGTCTCAGTAGCAGCATTTGCAGCAACAATAAAAAGCTGTTGGAGAACCAATTCTGTACAAGAACAGGCTGCTATGGAGGTGATTTATGATGATTAAATCCCTGTTATTCTCTTTTTGCTCCTGGTGGTGAAAGTTATTTTACTGATGAGACTCACATGGTTTAATCTCAGTGGCCTATGCATAACTTCAATTTATACAGTTTTATGTTATTTGGCAAGTTTGTAGAAGTCTTCTCCCTAGTTAGAGCAAAACTTGTCACTTCAGGACACTCCCCAAACAAAGACATGAACAAGCACCTCCACAAACTAAAGATCACCTGAGGACAGACAGAAAAGCAGAGTTAAAGCCCTCAACAATTTAACAGCTTCCACCTTGATAGGAGTATGAGCATGTTCTGCACAACTGGCTTTTTATGATGGTACAACAAATACCTTGATAAAAACTGGGACAGCTTTTACACAGGTTACACTGAGAGGAAAAAAAAAATAAATCCCAAGTGCTCATTCAGCTGAAGGCACTCACGTGGTAGTAATAAAATTCTCATTAAAAGAAAAGGAGGAAGCATTTAATACATTTAATACGTAATAGGGTTTTGCTCAAGAACCAAAACCCTCCCTTCCCACTTCCTTATAGAGGATGTTCTTATGTGCCTGTATATCTACACATACACACAGACAAATATTCTATGCTCTGAGCAATTTTGAGATTGATGGATAAATCCTCTTATTTCTTTAGCTGAGATATCTGACAATATGCTTTTAAGAGAGTTTCTTGGCCAAATTACACCTAGAACCATAAAATCATGAAGGCTGGAAAAGACACTTAAGATCTAGTCCACCTGAAACTATTCCCTGTGCCATGTTTGTACTGGAATCACTTGTAACTGCACAGCAGGGCAAGTCTTTTCATTTTTGTAACTCAACCAACTACTTACACGACAAGTCAAGTTAATAGAATATTACAGACTGACTCTCCTAACAGAAGTAAGAGCCATTGACCTCTAGGAAACAACTGCTAAGCTGACTGGACACCTGCAAAACAACTCAGGGTCTGGGCTGAGCTTTTGCTGCAGAGGGATTCAAGTCTCTCTTGAATGAAGCACTTCCTCTGTACCACAAAACCGTCTCCTGCGCTGCCAGGTGACATTTCAATGAAAACGCAATACAAGATACCGCAATTAAAACCACCCAAAGCAAACCACCTGCAATCGCTCTTGTTTACATTGGCCTCAGCCACCACTCACAGCCGCACCACTCCGCTCTAAGGAGCGTTTACCACTAAAACGCCCGTCGCTCCACCTAATTGCCACTGATTTCAACACGGGAATTGCGGGTGCCTCACCCTCTGGCCCGTGGTGATCCCGAAAAAAGCCGGTGATCCCGAAAAAAGCCGCTCCCTCACCGGCCCTCCGGCGCTGGGGCTGCCCGGCCGGGAAGCGCTGACCCCCCTCCCCTGCCCTGTGCCCCCACACAGGCCCCTCCGCGCCCCGCACCCGCTCAGGAAAACTCCCGCGCCCCCAGCGGGCCCCCGAGGCCCCGGGGGCAGCGCTCCCTTGGCCGCCCCGCCGCGAGAACGGGGCGAGGGGCGGCCAGTCCCACCCCCGCCTCACCTGGAGGTGATGGCGGCGGAGCAGCGCACCCGTCGCTGAGGTCGCACAGGGCCTGGTAGTGGCTGTCGCGGCCCTTCTCGCGCTCCAGGTGCAGGCGTAGAGGGACAGCAGGATGCCGGCGGCGCACACGGCGGACCGCGCCACCCGCTCCCAGCGCGGCACCGACACCCGCAGCAGGACGGGCGCCGCCATCTTTGCCCCGTCCTCCGCCTCAGACCGCGACGCGCGCCCGGCGCCCCGCGCCCCCCGCGCACGCGCGCGCTCCCCTCATTGGCCCGCCGCGCGCTCGGCGCGTGCCCTTCATTGGCCCGCCCGCGCCCCCCCCCCGCCCACCACCCCCCGCCGCTCGCGCGCCGGACGTGCGCCTCGCGACTACGTCACGTCAGGCCGGGCGGGGGTGGGGGTGGGGTTGTGCGCCCCTGGCGGCCATGAGGGGCGCTGCAGAGCGGCTTCGGCCCCACCGTCCCCGCCCCTCACAGATTCCTGCAGGAAAATGAGCTTTTCCCCCTTTTCTTTCCCTCAGATCTCAGCGGTCAGGGGAAACTTGGCAGCTCTGAGGAATGCTACAAAAGTCGACACGGCTGATATGACCCTCGGGGATAATGTGTCGCTTCACTATAACGTGGGTCTCAGGCAGGTTCTCCAGTGAAGCTCCAGGTGTTTTCCATGGTTTTGGACAGAATGAGCCCGCAGACACAGAGAGCCCATCTGGTGTGCAAAGGGATCTCCCTGGGGGCCTGTTAACATTCCCAAGGATTTTTTGGGATGTGTAATTTGGACAAGCACTATAAAAAGCACATTAAAAGTTTGTTTATCCTAGCACGCACCATAGCCTGGTGCTCCGCCTGGCTCCAGAACAGCTGCTGATGGATTCTCCCAAGCCTCGCTCGGCCTTGGAAGAACAAATACGCTTTGCACTTGAGCAATGGGATTTCACAGCCTGTTTCCCAGGTCTGGGACCAGATTCCATCACTCCTCACAGCCAGAACTGTGAATCCACAGCACTGGTCACAATCAGACCAACACAACCCAAGGCAATCAAGGCTGGATCTTCTTTCTTTCACATGCCTCTGGTTTCTATCAAAAGCAGCATCAACACCTGGCTGTAGCTGAAGAATCAGCCAATGTCTCTGGTCTACTCACACAAAAGCCACGGCAGCTGAAAATAAACAATCTTTGCTCACTGTAAACACCACCAAAACCACTGGTACCGCTGTGTTTGGGAATGGCCACCAGCTACTCCTTCTCCCGCCCTTCCCCAATTCCTTACAGCCCATTATTGGGGGCATTAGGAGATGCGGGAGTGAGTCGGTACAAAAGGAAGCTCTGGAGTTTTCCCAAGGAAGGCAGGAGGACAAAGCACAAAGGCAGCATTCATCCCATCCTGCCTTCATTGTTCCGCAGAACAAAACCAATTCAAAGAGGGACTCGCTGCAAAATCACTTCAAGCACCAAGAATCCCTCTGCCAGCAAAAAAAAGGGAGTTGAAAACCATTAATTAAGAAGAGTTGAGAAAACCACTCATTAAGAAATGAGTTGTTTGAACACTGGAAAAAGTATAAACAAAATTATAAATCTCCTGCTCTCTGTGCCACGATTTGCTGTCCATGGGAACAAGGGGAGAGGGACAACGGGAAAGGATCAGAGATGACGTACACAGGAGAACATGAAATGTTATTTATATTTATCTCCTAATAATTTTGACATTAACAACTGCTTTTCTTAACTGTGCTTCTGGATTACCACTATATAAACTCACAATTTAATGCTTCCTTCATCAGACAAGAGTTACATCCCCTGACATACAAGATGTGTATGTCACACACATACAAATGACTAATCTTATACAGCTCCCTCCTTTACAACTGAAGAAACTGTGAACAAGCAATTTTTTGTCATGAATTATCACGGCTGGTGACTGTGGCGCTGTCATGACGTGTCCCTTATAATTGCTGCTGTCTGTAAAAATAATTAATACAGTAATGAATAAATTGATTAAAAAATACATTTCTCCAAGTAGACAGTGACTCTAAAGCAGGGAGAGTCAGCAGATGACCTTGTGCATGGAGCTGAGGGGGCAGCTCATATATCTCATATATGTATATCATACATGTACCATATATATATAAATTAAAAAATATATAAATTATATATAAACAATTATTTATTATATATAAAAATATATATAAATATATAAAAATATTTCTATATATAAAATATATATATTTAGATACGTATATACATATATACATTTAGATACATATATACACATATAGATATCTTTTATGTATATGCATATACACATATATACATACACATATATATCTATATGCATATTTATATAAACATATGCATATATATACATGTATACATACATATTTTTATATATACATATTTGTGTATATACATGTATGTATACCTATAATTAATGAGATCCCCTCAGTCTTCTCTGGGCTAAAATCCAACACCTTCAATTCTGCCGAAGGGCTGAATTCTGAAGGGCTTTTGGGGGGGTTCCTTCTCCACGGAGAACGATTCCCTGAGGGCTGGAACACGTTTAACCGTAGCTTAGGTATTTATTGCGACTGTGGGTCCCGCCGGCGCGGGTTTAAACCGCAGTCCATGTGTTCATTTTGAACTGAGTGTCCCGCAGGCGCGGGTTTATCGCCGTTTATGTGTTTATTTTGCCCTGAGGGTCCCGCAGGCGCGGTTTTATCGCCCTTTACGCGTTTATTTTCACCGCAGACGCCGCCGCCAT